AAAACAATGAAAGGGAGTCTGCCTTTATTTGCATGCTAGTAAATTAGAATTCAGCTTTACCTCCAGGACAAACAAATGACTCCTGGGGCTGGGGTAAGGGTGTACATTGCATGGTTCGAGTTATTTTTGGATAGCAGGTTTTTTTCTATGAACTAGCATTGAACTAAGGGGTTGTCTTAGTTAATGTTGCATTCCTCCTTAACATAGTCCACAGAAAGTAAAAGTCAGTAGAAAATCATTCAGACTGAAAGGTTTGTGTGTGTGTGTGTGTGTGTGTGTGTGTGTGTGCGTGTAACAAAGATTATGAAAAAAAAACAGGTAGTGAATTTGAAAGGTAGCAAGAAGAAGTAAACAGGAGAGTTAAGATGGAGGAAAAAGGATGTAGAAATGATGCAAATACACTAAACTCTAAAAGGTAAATGACAAAATGAACATAAAAGAAATAAGATTTTATTGTCCACCCAGAAACGGTATTTGTAGAGATTTTTGTGTGGAGATTATTATACATAAACCAGTTATACAGGCTTTTACTACTGAGCATGCTTTTTTATTAAGGGAATTTGGTCTTGGAAAATCTGCCAGTGTCTTCATAGCATTGAAAATGGATTGAGTATTACTGGGAGAAAAGACATCCCTGGTGATAGAATTCTTACTTGTTGAACTATCTTCAGAATTATGTCCTTAAGCAAAGATAACATAGTGCATTCAACTGCAGTTCACCTGGGTTCAAATAACGAGCACGTGAAGAAAAGTGTCCTCAAAACCCATTGTGGAAGTGATCCTTGTACTGTCTGGTGTGCCTCAGCTTGTTTTGTTTGTTCAAGGTAGCTAAGATCTCTAATCTACATTTCCTTACCTAAAAAGGAGAGATTAGAATTTTCTCTGGTGATATATAGGGTTTTTGTTTTCTTTTCTTTGATTCTTTTATTTTGGACCTTTAGATTTTAGTCCTGTGCTCCAATGTGGGTTTCTGTGTCTGTCTCCTTTTATTGCCTGATGAAGGTTTAATATTCATGAGGATGCCTATATGTTTTTCTTTGAGTTCACCATCTTATTTAGCTTCTCTAGGATCATGAATAATAGGGTCAATGTCCTTTATTTATGTCTAGAAACCAAGTATGAGTGAGTACATCCCATGTTCCTCTTTTTGGGTCTGGCTTACCTCACTCAGGAGAGATTTTTCTATTTCCATCCATTTGTATGCAAACTTCAATAAGTCATTGTTTTTTACTGCTGAGTAGTACTCTAATATGTATATATTCCATACTTTCTTCATCCATTCTTCCATTGAAGGGCATCTAGGTTGTTTCCAGGTTCTGGCTATTACAAACAATGCTGCTATGATTCTTTTATTTTAAGAATATTTTTTATGATTTCCTTGAAAATTTCATGCAATTTATTTTGAACATATTATCTCTGTCCTCCTTTTCCAGTCCTAAGAGAAGTCAAGGTGCCCTGCCCTGTGGGAAGACCAAGGCCCTCCACCTTCCATCCAGGTCTAGGAAGGTGTGCATCCAATCAGACTAGGCTTCCAAAAAGTCAGTATATGCAGTGGAATCAAAACCCAGTGCATTATCATTGCCTTCTCAGTCAGTCCCCATTGTCAGCCACATTCAGAGAGTCCGGTCTAATCACATGCTCATTAATTCCCAGTTCAGCTGGCCTTGGTAAGCTCCCATTAGATCAGCCCCACCTTCTCAGTGGTCCTGAGACACTCACGTTCCTAACTTCCTTGTTCATATTCTCCCTCCTTCTGCTCTTCATCTGGACCCTAGAGCTCAGTTCAGTGCTCCAATGTGGGTCTCTGTCTCTATCTCCATCCATTGCCAGATGAAGGTTCTATGGTGATATGCAAGATATTCATCAGTATGGCTATGGGAGAAGGCCAGTTCAGACACCCTCTCCTCTGATGCCCAAGGACCTAGCTGGGGACATCCCCATGGACACCTGGGAACTCCTCTAGAGCCAAGTCTCTTGCCAACCCTAAAAATGCCTCCCTTAATTAAGATATCTTCTTCCCTGATGCCATACACACCTTTCATCCATCTCAACCATCCTATTCCCCCAAGCTCACCCCACAGCTCCCCTTCTTCCGTCTCTTTCTCCATCTTCCCTATCCCCCACCCAATGCCCACCCCCATGCTCCCAACTTTTGTCCAGTGATCTTGTCTACTCCCAAAATCCAGAAGGATAAATATATGTTTTTCTTTGGTTTCACCTTATTATTTAGCTTCTCTAGGGCCACAAATTATACTCTCAGTATCCTTTGTAAGATATAAGATTAACTTAAAAAATCAGAAGCCCTCTTATACAGAGAGAGCACAGAAGCAGAGAAGGAAATCAGAGAAACCTCACCTTCTACAATAGCCACAAATAGCATAAAGCATCTTGGGGTAACTATAACCAAGGAACTGAAAGATCTATTTGACAAGACTTTAAGTCTGTGAAGAAAGAAATTGAAGAGGATACCAGAAAATAGAAGGATCTCCCATGCTCTTTGATTGGGAGGATCAACATAGTAAAAGTGACACTTGTACCAAAAGTAATCTATAGATTCAATGCAATCCCCATCAAATACCCAACAAAATTCTTCACAAATGTTAAGAGAACAATAATAAATTTTATATGGAAAAACAATAAGCCCAGGATAGCCAAAACAATCCTATACAATAAAAGTACTTTTGGAGGCATTACCATACCTGACTTCAAACTCTATTACAGAGCTATAGTAATAAAAACAGCTTGGTACTGGCATAAAAACAGAGAAGTTGTCCAATGGAATCAAATTTAAAAGCTTTCTAAGTGTGCATATTGTATGCTCATAGAAGTGAAGCAACAAAATCTAGACTACAATGAATATTTTCCCTGCCACTGTGCAGTCCCTGGATGATCACTTACAAAATTAGACCTAATGCTCACAGGTTCTGTTATAGTTCAAAATGGAGGAATATCATCGATGATACAAGATATTCACCAGAAAAATTTCAAAACATAATAAATTTGAGGTCTCACACAGATTTATAATTAAAATAATCATGAACTGTGCCAATCAAAGAGTGACTGAATTTATAAACACATAAATTACACCTTTGCTGAATGCCCTGCACTGGGGATGGAAGGCTATGCTTTTTCTGTAGCTCTGTTTTTGCTGCTTTGTCTTTGGAATATAAGTTAATCCTTTTGCAAAGGAGTGCCTTGCATCAATTCAGTAGGAGTTAGGCTCTTTTCTACAACTGTGTCAGAGACTTTCACAGCAATCTTGCTGCTATTAATACAGTTGAAGTTTTGAATCTGAATAAAGCAACTTGGCCTAGAAGGTTCAGTGTCTACAGCCATTCCAGAAGAACCTCAAATGTTTCCTGTCCAGAGTGGAAGGAGAAGAGGGGCTCAGGGAAGCTGTTGGGCTGGTGTTACTGCCTCCCATGAATACAACCTTTGTCACTTTTCCTAAAGGTGTTGAAGCTCTTGGACTAGCATTTTCTCCACACTGCCCCACCCTCAATGTGTTTTGCATTTCTCTTTCTCTTCTGTTGCCTTTTTGCTATGGAAAGAGCCATCCCATGAGGACCTTTCTGTGTTCAGGTATGTTAATGTTTCTGTTTTAGAAATTCTGTCACTTACTTTGTTCACAATTACCAGTTATAATCCATCTTTCATATGCAATAGTCTGTGGCTTTTTCTTCTTTCTCATCATTTTGTTAGTGTTATGTTGATACAGGGTCTCACTAACTGGCCCAGTTTCCTTCAGTGCTGAGCCATGTATACCGGTGTGCACCACTAGGCCAAGTTTACTATAGTTTTTGATACATGTTTTTCTGTTTTCTTGCTTTAATACTTCTCTTTTGTGTTATTGCTCCTTTGACTATTCATTGGGTCTTGAAGAATGTTATGAACCATTGTTCCATTCCCTTTCTATCCTGGGCTCTATATTGCTCTTTATATGCCTTGATACCTACAGTGACACTACAGGAGCAAATGCCAGTGCAAACTGAAGGAAAATGAATAGTGCCTAGTGTTCATACTGGAGAAGGAATCAGATGCATTAACAAATGTAGGAGGCATGGATAATGAAAAAGATTCTTGTTGTGCAAATGAATTCATGTAAACTTATTGTCTTTGTAACAGAATAGGAATTATTCCATATTTCTTTACATGTTTGAAGAAGATAGTCACAAGTCTTTAGAATATTTACCTTACTATTGCATCAATTAAAAATGGAAGCAATTTTATACCATCTCCTAACAACCATCACATTACTAATTGTAAGTGAAATGTACAATAAATTTAAATAAATGATAAATCTGAATTATTTCAATCAGACATGAAAGGGATTATGATGTAAAATGCATATTTATGAACATAGCATATATTAGTATCTTTGTATGTGTATGCATGCATATATAACCTTATAAAATGTAAAATTATTAATCTCAGCCCCAGATATTTGAAGAGTAACTAAGTAGGTAAGATTACTAGGCAATTGTTTGCTTAGAGAAAAAAATCTTTTGAAAAAAAAATATATATAAGTGCCTACCTGGCTTCATTTTGAAATATTTATTGGAAATCATACATTACACAGAAGTTAAGATACTTTGCCTTTCATGTGAGTTAGAATTTTATCATTTTTCCTTATCAGAGATTAAATGGTTACAATTTAATATGCAAAAAGTCAAAGAAATGCAAATAAATTTATTTATTTTGATGACAGTGCATGAGAATTTTGCTTTCTTTAGCATCAACTATGGAGGACTCCGGTACATTGTGTGTAAGGCATGAAGCATCTGGATCAAGCTCACCGGGGTTTTCTTGCAAAGTGTAAGATTTTTGTGAAGAAAACTACAAGCCACTTCATTAGAATATCTTGATGTTTACTTGACATTGTATGTATGAGTTCAGTAAATTAGTATGTTATGAATTCTCAAGAATCAGCTAGACACACATCAGAAGACTGTATTCACATATATGAGTATAGTGTAATTCGGAACATCATATTGGAAACAATGAATGGTGTCTTGTATTACCTATTATTAACTATTTTAAATGTGGAATTGCTAATGGGAAATTTAGGCAATGCATTCACAGTGTTAGTGAACGTTATGGACTGGGTAAAGAGAATAAAAATATCTTTCATAGATCAGATCTTGACTACTCTGGCAATTTCCAGAATTGCTTTTCTCTTTTCACTAACTGCAAATTTATTTGTATATAAATTCTATCCATCCATAGTAATAACTAGAAGAATTGTGAGACAAACTTGTATTTTCTGGACAGTAACTAATCATTTCAATATCTGGCTTGCTACATGTCTTAGCATCTTCTATTTTCTCAAGATAGCCAATTTTTCAAACTCTATTTTTCTTCAGGGACACTGTTGGCATCTCTGCTCCTCTTGTTTTTAAATGTTTTAGTCATAGATACACACACTGATGTCTTCATTTACAGAATTGAAGCAAATATATTCTTCAGTGTTATCTCAAGTAATTATTCTCAAGTTGCTAGGCTCGTTTTACTTACCAACATTATGTTCACACTCATCCCCTTCACCATGACCCTGACCGTGTTTCTCCTGCTCATCTTCTCCCTGTGGAGACATCTGAAGAACATGCAGTACAATGCCAAAGGCCCTAGAGATGTCAGCAAGGCAGCCCACATAAAGGCTCTGCAAATGGTTGTCACATTCCTGCTACTATACAGCATTTTTTTTCTGTCACTTCTTTTGCAGTTTTGTAACATTAAATATAAGCAGAGAAATTCAGTGTCTCTGCTTTTATGGACTGTTGGAATTGCTTTCCCTTCTGGCCACTCATATGTCTTGATTCTGGGAAACACTAAACTTAGACAGGCATTTATTTCCACGATGTGGTGGCTGAGGTGCAGGCTCAGTGCTGTGGAGCCCTCAGTTTCCTAAAATGTATATCATCGTTTGTATTTTATAAGAACATTAGTTCTTAATAAGTTATTTTCGTATAAATTTCAACCTTCTGTACTTCACTTGTAACATTTTGAATTTGGCAAAATTTTGTATACTTTAGGTATTTCTCTAACTATTACTCCGTTGTCAGAAAATATGAAAATATATATATTATTTTATAAGGATAAATATAAATATGGACTAAATATGTATATGAACAAATAACATTAGCAAAATATAATTTTATATATAATTAATCACTTTGACATTTTAAAATGTTTTATGTTAATATGGAAAATACATGTTTGTATATTTTCATGTAGCATGTGTCCAATGATGTTAAATCTGTTGTAAAATTCTGTGACTCTTTAGGAGGAATCCCTTCATATTACTAGGTTTGTTTTATCATTTTCCTCTTCTAACATTGTTTATTTATTTACCTATTTATTGAAAAAATGTTGAGTTTATTTTTGTATGTCTTCCAGAGACTGTTTGATGGGTATGCACTTGTTATAAAATGTGAACATTTGTAATAGGTAACCTCTTGAAGGAGGATTTTATAGTACTTATAGATGGCTCATTGAAATTTGAAAATTTCAACCTATATTTGAATATTGTATGAATAAATTTCATTTTTGAAAAGATGTTAAAGGACTGAATTGCTAAGCAGGAAAATTGTGTAGTGAATAGTTGTTTGTTATTCTGTTACTTAGGAAGCAATAAGAAAAGAAAGTACATATATATTCAGTGCTGAGAGAAATGTTCCGCTTTGTAAAGTATCTGTAGTTGAATGAATTTTAGTGATGGAACCTATGAATATGAAATGCTATCAGTCAAAGTTGAAGTTCAATAAAACCAAAACTAGATAAGAATCAAAGTATGGATTCTTGGTGAAAATAGAGTACATATGAAAGAAAGATAAAATGTAAATTGCATAATGTTAACATTTCAAACACAATATAATCCACAGGGAGATAAAAATGGATGTACACAGAACAATTTTCACTAAAAAAACAAATTTCAGAGAAATCTCACATTTTCAGTATGAAGATGGTAGCCTGTCCACTTTCCTTCTACTATGCTGCCTTGGCACTGGGAAACCACAGAACACAGCACTCAGTATGCTTTTAAAGCATTATTTCAAATAACTCATATACAGCACTCTAACAAGATTCCTGTCTACTAGAAGCTTTACTTCATCAGGACACTAGATTTACTGCAATACCCAGACAGTGGAAATCTAGCTCAGTGATCATAGCAATAATTTTTTGAATGGTGTCTTGTTCTCAGCTTTGGATTACTGTGTGTGTGTGTGTGCTTGTGTGTGCACTTTTTGACTGAATATAATGAAGCTACAAGACATTAATTACCAGCAGATAATTATAGAGAAGAGGAATTTCCCAAGGAGATCCTATAGACAATGAGACACCTTAGAAAGAAAAAAAAAACCTCTTCTTCATGAATACAATTCATATGCTTAAACAAAATCCTGATGTTGAAGGACCATTCACCATATCACCTGAGGACTAAAACTCACCCATCCCTGTCTTCATCATTAACTCCTTTTTCTTCTGTTTTTAAAATTTATTTATAAAAATTTCCACCTCCTTCCATCCAACTCCCTCCACTTTCCCTCCCCTCCCTCTCCAGTCCTAAGAGAAGTCAGGGTGCCCTGCCCTGTGGGAAGTCCAATGCCCTCCCCGCTCCATCCAGGTCTAGGACGGTGTGCATCCAAACAGACTAGGCTCTCAATAAGCCAGTACATGCAGTAGAATCAAAACCCAGTGCCATTATCATTGGCTACTCAGTCAGCCCTCATTGTCTTCCACTTTCAGAGTCCAGTTAGATCACATGCTCGTTCAGTCCCAGTCTAGCTGGGTTTGTTGTGCTCCCATTAGATCAGTCCCCTTGTTCTCAACAGAAGAAGTTCAAATGGCCAAAAGACACTTAAGGTCATGCTTAACCTCCTTGGAGATCAGGGAAATGCAAATCAAAACAACTTTGAGATACCATCTTACACCTGTCAGAATGGCTAAAATCAAAAACACCAATGATAGTCTATGCTGGGGAGGATGTGGAGTAAGGGGTACACTCATCCATTGCTGGTGGGAATGAAAACTTGTGCAACCACTTTGGAAATCAGTGTGGCAGGTTTCTCAGAAAACTGGGAGTCAACCTACCTCAGGATCCAGCAATTCCACTCTTGGGAATATACCCAAGAGATGCCCAATGATACTACAAAAGCATTTGTTCAACTATGTTCATAGCAGCACTATTTGTAATAGCCAGAACCTGGAAACAACCTAGATGCCCCTCAATAGAAGAATGGATAAAGAAGGTGTGGTGCATATATACTTTAGAGTTCTACTCAGCTGTAAAAAACAATGACATATTGAATTTTTCATGCAAATGAATGGAAATAGAAAACACTATCCTGAGTGAGATAATCCATACCTAAAAAGATGACTATGGTATGTATTCATTCATAAGTGGATTCTAGCCATAAACAAAGGACATTGAGCCTATAATTCATGATCCTAGAGAAGCTAAATAAGAAGGTGATCCCAAAGAAAAACATATATTTATCCTCCTAGATATTGGAAGTAGACAAGATCGCCAGGCAATAGTTGGAAGCATGAGGGTGTGGGTGGGGTGGGGGGAAGGTAAGATGAAAAGAGAGAAGGCAGAAGGGGAAGATTGGGGAGAGCTTGGAGGAATTGGATGTTTGAGATGGAGGAAGGACAGATATGGGAGCAGGGAAGAAGATATCTTAATTAAGGGAGTCATTTTAGAGTTGGCAGGTACTTGGCTCTAGACAGTTCCCAGGTGTCATTCTTTGTTGTTTTTTTTTTAAACAAACAAAACTTTGTAATTTTAAAACTTATAAAACTTTGCTGAATGAGTTCAAATTTCAAAGAAGCTAGGCAAAGGAAAATGCTTGCAAAACAATAAGAGAGAGTATGCCTGCATTTGCATGCTAGTAAATGAGAATTCAGCTTTATCTCCAGGACCAGCAGTTGAAGTCTGGGGCTGGTGGTGAGGTCATACAATGCATGGTTAGAGTTGTTGTGGGATAATAGCTTTTTTCTATGGATCTAGCATTGAGCTAAGGGGTTGTCTTAGTTAATGCTGCGTTCCTCCTGAACACGGTCCACAGAATGTAAAAGCCAGTAGAATATCATTCAGACTGAAAGATTTATTTGTGTGTGTGTGTGTGTGTGTGTGTGTGTGTATAACAAAAATTACGAAAAAACCAGGTCATGAATTTGAAAGAGAGCAAGAAGAAGTATATGGGAGATTTTCGAGGGAGCAAAAAGGATTTAGAAATGGTGCACATACAATAAACTCTCAAAGGTAAATGAAAAAATGAACGAAAGGGAAATAGGACTCCTTGTCCACCCAGAAACAGTATTGCTAGAATTTTGGTCAGGAGATTATTAATCATAACCAGTAACAAGGCTTAGTTAATGCCGAGCTTGTTTTTCATCCAGTTAGTGTGAGAATATTTGGATTTGGAAAATCTGCCAATGTCTTTATAACATTGAAAATGGCTTGGGTATTACTGGGAGGAAAAGATGTCCCTGGTAATAGAATTCTTACTCCCTGAACTGTCTCCAGAATTGTTTCCTTTGGTAAAGTTAACCTAGTGCATTCAATCTGGGTTCAAATAACGAGCACGTGAAGAAGGGTGTCCTTAAAGTCCCTGGTGAAAGTGATCCTTGTACTGTCTGGTTTGCCAATAGCCTCAGCTTGTTTTGTTTGTTCATGGTGGCTAAGATGAAATCCTACATTTCCTTACCTCAGAAGGAGAAATAAGAATTTACTCTTGTGATATATACGGTTTTTGTTTTCTCTTTTCTTTGATTCTTTTAAGAACATTTTTATTAATTCTTTGAAAATTTTATGCAATGTATTGTGAACACATTACGTCAGTCCTCCATCCACTCCCATAATCATTGCCCACTCTCCTCTACCTTCACACCCAAATTTTGAGTTCTCTTCATTGCTCTTCATCCACATGGAGTCCACTTTTTGTTGCTACACTATTCTTGAGATGAGGCCTGCCCCAGTGTGTGGTTACCCACGACTCCACTGATTCTTCTCTCACAGCTATTAAAGCCTGTAGTTTCTCAGTTAGAAGTAGGGTTTTGTGTCTTCCTTCCTCTCTCTATATTGGGGTTTTGTCTAGATTGAGCTTGTTCAGGTTTTATGCATGTTGTTACAACTGCTGCAAATTCATTTGTCCAACTGTCCTGTTTTATCAGAAAAAGAAAGCCAACCATTTTTTTTTGCTGTCACCCACTCTTTCCATCTCTCACAGTCTTCCTAGTCCTATTCCTTGATAATCCCCGAGGCTTGAGGGGAGGGGTGTGTTATGAGTGCTCAGTTTAGAGCTGAGAAGTCCCCAGACTTTTCTTCTGTATATATGGGCAGGTTAGGGTTTCTATATTCATTGCTATTTACCACAGGAGAAGCTTCTCTGATGGGGGCTAAAATATGCTATGATTAAATTTCAAGTCATCAGTAGTTTGTAAATTCATTTGGTGGTTCTGTAAATTCATTTGGTGGTTCTTTGAAAGTTTAATACAATGTCCTTGATTAGAACAACAAGTCATTAGGAGTCCTTAAGTTTATTTGGTAGTTTTTTTGAAAATTTAATATAATGCATTTTGACCATATTCAGCTCTTTCCACTTCTTCTCTCCACCCCTTATATCCTCCATTCTCCCAACTGTATATTCTTCCTCCTTTCTGAGGAAATGCTTTATTATGTTGCTCTAAAGATGAAATATGTGCAAAGTATTCCTGGTGCTAATGTCATCTTCTCTGGGCAAGTCTGGCCATCCTAGGAACTGCTTGATCTTCATGTGGAACCTCAAGTGTTTCTTGTGCAGAACAGAAGATGCAGAGGTGGAGCCCATTAGGGTGGTATGTGTTACTCTCTCCTGGTGGACACAAGTTCTGTTACTTCTAAAAACCTTGCATTTCTAGCAGTAG